GGGGGGGGAAGGGGGGGAATGAAAGTGTGTGTGTGTGCGTGTGTGTGAAGTTCTATTTATTTTCAGTGGCATCTCTGTGGTTTTTTGAACCTTTTATGCTGACTCTCCACAGGCTGCAACTGGTTAATTAAAAACGGTGGTTAAGGTCAGCTACTTCTGTTTTCAGTGCAGGATAAAAGCCTGTTTTGGAGCAACTTAAGGAGGAGTGGCTTTTAGGACAGCAATTTCTTTGTGCAGGGACTTAGGGGCAACTTTGGTCAAGAAATGGCTCTTGAGCAAATACTGTGAGCATTGAAGCATCATGAGATTCTGAGTTCTCATGAAGGTCATAGTTACTACTCCAAAGAGCATCAGTCCCAAGAAACAGCTCAGCCAGCCCAACAGCAGCATATTTGGTCTTGTTAGTAGAAACAGCAGGTACTCGACTGCCTCACTTGCGTAAGAATGAATATAACAAAGGGGGGAGCCCTTTCTTAGTATTTATTACTACTGAAACAATCTGGTATGCATGGTTGCCTGCTACAAGAGATGTTAAAACTATTTTTGATTAACTAGCTTTCATTTTTGCACTGTTCACTGGAGCAGTACTGTACCAACTAATTGTCCACTGGCCAGTACTGGAATATATCAGAAGTGAATCTGGATTCACTCAAGGTGATTATCAAATCCCAATCTTAGGCTCACGGGAGATTTTCTCCCTGCAGGAAGAGATGGAGATACTATCGTTAGCCTACAAAACACCGCATTAGTATTAAACGCTACGCTACAGGCAGTGGGATTGGCTGCATATCACTAAAAACGGATGATTATTTTGAAAAGAGAGAGGAGAACTGATGTCCAGCTTTGTGGCTGGCACAATGCTAGCTGACTCTTAGTCTTACAGATTGTCATAGGATTTCATTGGTCATTGAATCTTTGCATATAGGTGTAGATAGGTGATGAAAAACAGCTGCTGATAGCTGTAGGCTTGAGAAGCATGACATCAGAATTCCGAATAACCTTTGTTATATAGCAAATGTTGACTTACCCTTTTTAAGCTTCCAAAGCCTACAACTTTTATGTCCAGATTTCTTCAGAGGGTGGCTAATCAAACCCATTTGCATGCAGGATTTAGTGTCTTGGCCACTATTTTTTGCACTAAGTAAAACTTGACACTGTAGACAGCTTGTGTGTAGGAGGCTGAAGTGCGCTTACCTGGTGTGCAGAATGGAACAAGGACATGCGCACTTACTGTCTTTATTATCATTGTCTCAAATTGCTGAGCACTATGAGGCATGTTTAAAAATAGAAAGTTTCTAAAGGTGGTTGTTCCTTCACCAGCTCTCACTGGTGACTGGGCCCTGGATGGGCTGCTGTAACACAAGAACGCTAAACAGAGTCCCAGTGCACTTCCTTTCACCGAGACTGGGCCCTTTCAAGGAGATCTGCCCCAGAAAGGGGACAGAAAATGCTTCGAGTCTTCTACTCGCATCTGAAAACTGGTTTGGCAGGTATCATATAGCAAACTTCCTTCCCACTTACTTTATCTTTGTTGTGACTGAAGAGTCCCTAGGGAAGCATTCATTTATATTAGTATATGGCAGTGCTCCCTAGCACCACAGCAGATGTCTACATGTGCATTAAAGATGAGAGAGCAGGACCTCCAGCTCTGAAACATAAGGCCACACAGAAGACAGAAGCTAGGCAAACAAATGGCCAGTGATCAAGGACCTGAGTAAGAAGGAGCACAGTTGTGTCTGCCAACAGCTGTCACTTTCAAAAGTGACCTGATTCCCCCTGAACAAACAACTTTTCTTCATATTGAACCTGAAACAAGTCCAGGGATAGTCTTCTCTGGGAGAAAAAAAATTTCTTTTAGACCAAGCGAATAACTGCATTTTCTTTCTGTCTGCTCAGAACAGACTGACCTAAACCACAAAATATTTTGCGAGTGAGAACACAAATTCTGACTGATGAAAGCAGTTAAAAGTAAATGCAGAGTTAGTGCTCAACTACTAACCTGGAGGCAGTCAGCACTCAGCTATCTTAAAGAATTCGAGTTCAGCTTGAAGGTCTAAGGCAACATTGCAGTCAAATTGCAGAGGGAGACCTGAGAGCTTCTGTACTTTGTTAGCACGCTGATACAGGAACACAGAAGAGGCATGGAAAGCTAGAGAGCTCTCATCTCTACTTGGAAAATTGGTCAGCCTTGGTCCATAGTCAGGCTGCCCTAATAATTTTCTGTCATGGTGTATCTGGTGGCTTTGATTGGAGCACCACGATTCAAATGCGCCCAGGAGCAGTGTCGGCTTCCCTTCTGCAAAACAAACTGGTTTGTATTCTTGAGGCTAAAGCCCTGTGGGATGGAGCAGGGCTCTGTGTGGCAGTGATTGATTGTTATTTAACAGCTTCCCTTTCAATTAATATTGTAAAACAATACTAATCCATGCAAGTGCTATTGATGTTTTCCTGTGCTTGCAGAGGTAAGGAAGTATATTAAAAGTGACTGGAGAACAAAACTAGACTGAAATCAGTCATCTGTATATAGTTTAAGAGTGGCTGAAGCTCAGCTACATACACTAGGGACTGTTGCTGGCAAAAACACAAAGCCCTTCAAATTCAATTTTCTTTGAGCGGTTTGCCTTTCAATCTGACCTTTGTAACACACAGAAGAGAATCAATGTAACTTTTAAATTGACAACTAACTACTGTCACCAAGTAAAATCTCAGTTGTTCAAAAGTTTAAAAGAACACATATACAGGTGTATTCAAAGTTTTAATTCAATTTCAGATTAATTTCAGATTAATTAAATTTTCTCTCTTTTATAGGAGGTGTTTGCACTGCTTTTGCAGGGTATGGTAAAGCCATAGTTCCTCGAGCCTTTCCAGAGCTTTAGCTGTTAAGAGCAGGAGTTCAGTGCAGAGGTAGCTTGGGCTATAATCACTCCTACTCCAACCCCCCCCCCCCCCTCTGATGCTCCCACTGCTCCTCACAAGTTACAGTGCCAGCAGCCCAGCACAGGGGAGGCTGAGCTTCCTCACAGCCAGGAAGCTGCAAAACAGCACCGGCTGGAAGAGCAAGGCAGCCAGCTGGCTAGTTTAATAGGCGCTGTAGCTAAATGCTGGTTGTTAATCGATGCACTCATTCAAGTTGTCTTGCGAGGCTGTTCCCCATTGTTTCAGTGGAATCTCACCCATCCACCAACTCAAGCTTACTGCTGCAGTGAAGACAAGCCTGAGCCTTTCGTAACAACTAAACTGAGCATGATTAGTCTTAAAAGGACTATTTTTCAACTTCAAAAGAAGAGCCAGTAGTACTATAGGACAGATTTCAGAAGTTCGTGCTTGGGGGAGGAAAAAATAACCGAATTACCTTCATGCTTCATTCTTAGCCTAGCTGATCTAGAAATAAAAACAACAGTAACTACTAAAGGCAGTATCTTACCTAGCTATACTGCATTCTTCTTGCTGTCCTTTCTCACATCTGGTCAAGAATAAGCTCTAATAACACAGGTTAAAGTAAACTTGGCTTAGCACATGCTATTCTCCTGCTGCTCCTAAGGGGAGTTATTCTCCTTTCTTTCGCCAAAGCTGCTCTCTCTCTACTTTTCCAACAAATTGCAGAATATCTTCAGCAAGAAGTTCTGGTTCCTCCAAAGCTGCAAAGTGGCCACCTCGAGGCATGTAATGGAAGGAGACTATGTTGGTATATTTCTTCTGGGCCCAAGCCTGGGGTGTGTGCATGACTTCATTAGGGAAGGAGGCAATGCCAGTAGGTACTTGTACTGGGAGCCTGAGAGAGAAGAAAGGATAGTTTTTAATCTTTCAAACACTTCACTCAACTCAGCAAGCAATGGAAAGTCCCTTGGAAATGATGTTCTTCAACACATAGGCACTTTGTTTAGGCCATTAAAAGCCGACTTCTGGATCCAAAATTTGTACATTAGACAATTAAAAGCTGACTTCTGGATCCAAAATTTGTACACTAGGCAAAACTGCAGTTCCTTAAAAATAGTTAAAATTTTTGCACATGTTTAAGACAGCTTTGCAAGGGATTCAGGCCATGAGAGAAGTATGAAAGTTGAGAAGAGAGTGTCAAATTTCCTCATGCTGCATCCAGGGCTCAAGAGACATGTATTGAGGAAAAAGCACATAATTTGACAAGGGCTGCTAAGAGAGATTTACAGTGAAGATTACAACTAAAACATGCTAAGCCTGTCAGAACAACTGGAAGGTGGGGTAGGGGAAGAATTATCTTCAACTGCTGCAAAGAGGGGAGGAGAAGAAGAAGAAAAAAAAAAAAAAGGCAATAAAAAGTAAATCCAGACTGCCCAGAGAAAATATTTTGAAAGGTGAGACTTTACCTTGTAAAGTAGCCTCCCCTGGACAAAAGCTCTTGCTTGCAAGTGGCATGAATGCACTCTACTAAACATTGCTGGGGGAGAGAAGCAACTGGACTGGAGGAAAAAGCATCTTATAAAGCAGACCTATCTGCGCCCGTTATAAACAGAGTAACAAAAGGTCTAACTATCCCATACACCTAAGCTGCATTGGCAGAAGTGGCAGACTTTAAAAGATACACAAGCTGTTGGCCACATCTACATGAAAGTCTGAAAACTGGGTACCCGATTTCACATTGGTCTTTGAGACGCTACTCTAGGTGTGCAGAAGCTCATATACGTCACCTCATGTAGGCAGAATTGGAGTGGGATAGTGCCCACAGTGTGGCCAAAACAGCTTCAAGAACTGAGTCAGGTTCTTGGGAGCACCATTTCACAGCTAACTAAATACCCAGCATTGAGCTGTGGCTGCAAATACCTTGGAGCAGGTTTAAGCCTTCACTAATACTTCAGCTGACACAAGTGTATGCAACCAAGATGCTGCCATAAGTGTCTGCACAGCAGGAGCATCAGTTTGACTTTCAGATGATGCAGAGTTCATCAATATACTGAGTGCCAAAAAGTAGGACATAAATCCTTGACAGAAAAAGGCAATCCATTTTTCAGAAAAGTATTCCAAGTTTAGTTTATGTAGTTCTGTTACATGTTATCAGTCACAGCCTAACTTACTTAATACCTGAAATAAAATCCTGGACTACTCGCACATGTTCCTCCTTACTTGGATAAACCACGAGAGGGAGGTCCTTAAGCAGCCTTGTTCTAGTTAGTGCTCCTTACTGACGTTTTTGCGATTCTTACCAAATGCCAACGCATTTTCCAAGCGCAACGCTGCACATCACCCAACAGCCCTATCCTGCGAAGGAACATCGTGATGCAGCATTGCTTTTGCTCAACATTCAGAAACTTGCAGAAGGGCCTGTCAGCCACCATAAGATTAAGTTTGAGGCAAAATATTTAAAGAAACTACTTACTTTTCATGTTTCTGTGTGCCTATTCCCTTCTGCAAATTTTCTTTGTAGAAACGCATTGACGAAACTACACAGCCTGACACCCAGTAGATCATGATATTGGTGAGAAGATCATCCAGGGTAAACTTCCTGAAAAGGCCAGTCCAGAGATTGCTCAGTTAAGACTAAATACCATTTTATATTACTTTGGCAAGGATTTGACTTTGGTTTGGTTGTAAGAAGAAAATGTTAGGGCAAAATTGGTTGAATAGATAACTCACGGATAAGGAAAACAGTTGAGAGCTGGAGTATATTACTTCCAGCTCTTTCGCCTTTCTTCCAAGTGTGTCAGTGGCCAAATAAGCATGTTAGGCTTTCAGACACAAACTAGAAAGTGACATTTAAACTTCCACATGGAAGGCAGACACCAAAAAATGCTTTATGCTCCAGCACAGCTGTCTATACTGTCCTTAGACCGGTTGGGTAGGAGCAGAAGAGCACATGGAACAGCTTGTGGCTTTTATTATTCATAATCCCAAATGCTACCATAAGCTTTCCACAGAGACTTCACGGGACCTTCACCAACACATTCCATAAATAGTGCATGTTTCATACCACATTATCAGCTCTATGCAGTGGAAATGTGCTATTCAAATCAATTCTCACTGGACCTTTTCCTAACACGACTCTGCTCAACTTCTGTCAGGTGCCTCACAAGTTTTCAAAGGAGACCTCAGTCTCAGATTTCTGCTTCAATCTAAGAGTGACCTCATTAGCAAACATTAGGTAGATGAGATAATACTGATGAATTTAAAGCAAGTACATAGAGAATTAAGTATCAGTATTACAATGAATCGTGAGTTCTGTTTCCCAGCTTCTTAATGTAGGCCAAATCTTCACTGTTCTGTCCAAATGAGAGTCTTCCACCTAAGTCAGTTTTTTTTAAATCCCCAGAAGTTACAGGACATCTCTCTTTTCTAGCAGATCAAGGTGGGAACGGAGTAGGTCAGCCTTCAAAACCTATTTGCTTCTCTGCGTTTTGCAGTACAGCAGTGTATCATTTGTGGTCACTACAGGCTCCTTGTAAGATGGGAATAGCCAGAACAGACACTTATTTAGCTCTGACTTGGGGCTTAATCATCTCATCCAAAATGGCACAAGAGGAAGTGCTTACCTTTCTAGTCCTCCATCCTCTAAATTACGGAATTCCAGATCAGTCCATGTAGAAAACTTCTCCAAGATGTATGCAGCCAGTCCTACAGGAGAATCATTCAAACCACAGCCTGAAAAAGAGGAGGAAAATTTGACTATAATTAGAATATCCTGCTATTGACCTCAAATTGTTTTAGAAGCTGCTCATTTTAATACAGGGTAGATAGATAACTTTTTATAAAGCTGTTCCAGCAGCTGTGTTTAAAAAAAAAAAAAAATTAGAACAAGTCAGAGCCACTTATTGTTGAATCATAAACTGATAGTATCTGTAAATTAACAGGTTCCACATTAGCTCACACTATGTTTTTTAAAGTGATGTAACACTGTTACACGCTGGGTTTTTTTTTTTTTTTTTGGTGAGCTAATAAGATTAAGCTTGGTGTGCCAAGTAAGATTTACTTCCATTAATGTGGAAGTTGTCATGTATTAACAGCATTACAGGGCCAAACCCCACATGCCTACATATGTAAGAAGAGACCAGGACAATTTCCTCCGTTATCTAACAGAAAAACCTTTTTAGGGATTATTAGAAAGTCACTGAGGAAGAGCAAGGCTTTATTAAAAGGCCCATCTTGTGCATTAGAACTAGCCAAGTGCCTTAATGTGGAACAAAGCTTAATATGCCTTTTATAGTTTGTTTTGTTTGGACAGAAGAACCACACCTGCTCTTGGAACTTTGCTAATACAGCCTAGTGCTGTCAAATTCAGGGACCATAAACTGTCCCAGCTGCTCAGCTCCGGCTTAGAAAAGGCTCTTCCTGAACAACAGCATATATTTGAAGTCCTGTCCATGCAACCCCCAACCCTCCCTCTGTGGCGCCTAACAGTATAGCTAGCACAATTTCATTAATAATTATAGGTTTAACATGATAATCGAGTTTCAGTTATCAAATAATTAACATTTATAACTGAAATACCAAATGTTATAAAAAAATTATATTTAGCATGCCTTCCAGATCTGCAGAACTAGATAAGCAATAACCAGTTCTCATATACTTGACTGTGAAGGAAATGAGGAAGAGTACATCAGTTTACATATAGGAAAAATTGACACTGATCCTAGCAGCACTTCTAACAGAGGCAAATTCCAAGGCTTTCCAATCAACTGAAAACGATCCCACACTCCATGCAAGTTTCCCAGAGAACAACTATAAAATCAGATCCACCGAAGCCAACTTGATCAAAAGCCAACTCTGAAGCAATCAAGAGCACGCTATCAGCCAAAAACCAGAGACAACTGCCTCGCTTAGGATACTACTTTAACTGATTGCCTGCGGCTCCCCTGTCATATCCCTTTTCTTGCAAGGTGGCCTTTTCCCAGCACAAGCCTCGGGAAGGTGCTGGCAGCCACCCTGGCCATGCCTCTCCCACCTACGCTCCCTTCTACAGAGCGTCTTTCTCCCTGCAGAAACCTCACTTCTGCCATGCATCTTCTGCATCCTCAAAATTGCAGGACTGCTCCTGCTTCAGTTCCCAAAACATGAACTTACTGGTGGTTCAGTCTGTGTACTCTGCTCTGACAAACCACAGATGACTTGCAGGGATAAGAATCAGCCAGAAAACCATAGCAAAAGGACCAGAACTGGGTCTAGCCATCTGTCACCTCCAGCTTCCCCATCTTTTCTTGAAGCATAAAAGGAATTAAGAGACTATACATTTTCAGAGACCACAACTCAAAGCAAGCCAAATTACTTAAAATCCATTTAGTTATCATTTTGCATGCACATTTTAAGAATATACCCATTTCTGTACTAAGAAAATAGTTTCTTCAGCTGTGTTCTTAATTAATCTGCAGTGAGTGAATTGCTGCTGCACTCATTCAGTACTCTTGAATCAGTTGTCCAACTCAATTGCAAAAGATGTTTTTAAATAGGAACACTTCACACTTAGATACTTAAAGTGGTTAAACAACTTGAATGATTAGCTCATCTAGAAAGAACACTCACAGGTACAGGAAAACAATTTAGCTGTTTTTCTAACGTGTACCCAGAAATGTTTTCTTTCTTTTTTTGAACGTCTACAACTGATTCATAATAATGACAGAGAACTAAATTTGATTTACTTTTCAGGTATTACTTATCCCTATACACAGTCTAGCTTGTATGCTGAGACAGCTAAAAGCTTCTTGTAGTTTAGATCATTTAAATGTGACCCATTCTTTGTGAAGAAACTATACTTTGTTCTTAGTGTAGCTGTGTTTGAAATGGAATCGCAGTCCCTGGTGAAGTGCAAAAGTATTAAACTATTTTATTTATGAAAACTGAAAATTAGGTCAGCAGCACTTAGAGAATGTCAGATACAACTGCACATTCAGTTTTGATGTGTAGGTTTACCGTTTCTGCCTGCAAGAAATGAGTTAAATATTATACACAGATATGCAATCTTTTCCGATTTTCATACAGAAGAGGAGCATACCTTTAAAAATCTCAGACCTTCCTATTTCAATTGGGGAAAAAAAATCAAAAGATTTTCTGTACATTTTAAGCAATTTGTTTCTAGGAAAGAAAAGTATAAATAGAATTAACAGACTAAATGTTCTGGGCTTTAAAGGGTTTATTGGTTTTTTTATTGTTGGGGGGGGGGCTTTTTTTTTTTTTTTGGGGGGGGGGTTTTTTTTTTTTTTTTTTTTTTTTTTTTTTTACCAGCAGTGTCAGGCTTCGTAGCCTGTATGTGAGCATAGCCAGACTCCATTAAGATCCTGTAGAGTCCTTTTTCCAGGAAGGGAAACATCCGCTTAATATCTTCATCCTGGAATCCGAAGAGCCCTGGAAGGTAGCGTCCCAGCAGAACAGAGAGCACATGGGTGAATCCCATTTTTGTAACTGAGGCTAAATTTAAGTGAAGGCCTCTCATATGGCTAAAAACAAAAACAGAAAAACCCCATTTTGTAATTAACAAAAATATAATCTGACTCAACAGTTGTTATATTTAAAATGTTATTAACAAAATGGACATAAATTCTGATCCTGTAATTAGATCATTGCTCATCACCTTAGCTGTACTTTGTAGTATGACTTTTCATGTTAAAACAGCAAGTCAAAGGGGCAACTGTCAGTAATCAGCACGGCACTAGGCCACAAATCCTTCTTTTGCTATAAATACTTGTCCCGCTCCAGACCTGATCTGGGGCCCTCACAAACTACTACTACGCAACTGGTTGTCTTTTTGGAAGAAACCCAGGAAGAGTATACAGTTCTGGATCACTGCTTAACTCTGAGCACTGAAGACAGAAATTGCGCAGTGCTCATATGAGGACTTGGATAGGAACTCTCAAGTGCATGAGCAATACTTTACTATTTAAAGAATAAAACAGCTTTGCATGCCAATTATCCAGCACTGTACCAAAACGGTACTCACTTGGGAGCAATCTGGGCCAGATTGGTGCAGATGAGCCAGCCCCAGTCGCCACCTTGTGCGTAGAACTCACTGAATCCCAGTCTGAGCATTAATTCATAAAAGACAGAAGCAGCACTTACAGAATCAAAGTCTGTTAAAAAAAAAAAAAAAAAAAAAAAAAAAAAAAAAAAAAAAAAAAAAAAAAAAAAAAAAAAAAAAAAAAAAAAAAAAAAAAAAAGTTACTGTATTAACTCCAGCTACGTGTCTGCATGTGCATCATTTATTCTCCCAGTAAAGGCAACAGCCAAGTTCCTAAGAAGCTACAAGTCCATTCTGCCTGCCTCATTCTTCCTAGTGGCAGGTTATTGAGGCCCTTGTCAGATCAAGGTAAGGTCTAGAGAATGAGCAGAAACCAGGAGGACAAAGTCCAGTGCTCATTACAGATGGCAATTCTCCTGTTCCCAGAGGTTCTCCATGCACTTGCCCTAAGGAGGTGTTGCTGGTCTCCCTCTTAGCCACAGTCCTACTCCGGCTGAGCCCAACCAGCGGCTCTGAGCATTACCCTGGGAACATATTCCCATTTTGTCTTCCGTGAGTTTCAGCTGAACGATAGCTAGAAACCTGAAGTATCCACCAGTAACACAATCCTCGACCAAGAGCTGACCACTTCCAGAATACTCAGGAATAGCACTGTCAGATCATAACCACGGAAGTAGGGAAAAGCAAAGCCAACCTCTCCTCCCTCCCCACAAATCCTTCACCTACACACACAGTTAGATACGAAGCTCAGTGTCACCTTAAATACTACCGAGCTCAGATTTGCTGCAGCTTGTGTTTTGCTACTTCAGAGCACAGGCAGACCAAGCAGCTATCTGGCTGCAGTATTGTAGATACATGAATTGATTTGTTTCAACTCTTGCTTCCCACCTCCTTGAATAATGCTGTTGAATGTAGATTCAAAACAACCAGAAGAAACAGTAACAATTTAAGTTTATTCTTCCTGCTCACCAGCATAACATTCACCGACTGGTGAATTACAATTCACAAATTGTCACTTGATAACTTTTTGCAGTCCTTTGTAAATTATCTGTATGTTGCTCCTGAAGCTAATTAATGGTGTCACCCGAAGTCACACTCCTATCTCCTGCTTTCCACATGACACTCAGGCTCTTCATTTCTACACTGGGAACACAAGAAGAACCAGGAGGGATTGTTCTGCTAACAGGGGCTGTTCTATCACTAGGAGATCAAGAGCTGTATAAAGGTCAACTTCTTCCCACACGTCATACCTTTTTTGTGGGGTGCTTCTGAGAAGCCATAGCCAGGGATAGACGGGCAAATGACTTCAAAAACGTGTTCATCACTGAGGCCATGGCTAGCAGGGTCCGTCAGAAGAGGGATAATTTTGTAAAACTCATAAAATGAGCCAGGCCAACCATGAACCATCAATAATGGCTTTGCAGACTGGCCTTCAGGCAAGCGAGGAGCCTTTACATGAACAAAATGGATATCAATACCTGTAAAAATAAAATTATTAATTAGCACGCCCAAAATTTATCATGACACTGAAACTAATCACAGATCAGACAGATTATGAATAAATCTTTTCTAAAGTCTTTTGGTGACCACGCAGACACACTGCACTTCTGTGGATTCATTTACCCAAGGAACTTAAATTACCTTATAACAGGCAATTAAGCATCACAGCAGCCAAATGAGGTAGGCATATTTCTGTTTTGAAATAAATTGGCAAATTAAGGCCTAGAAGTGACATAATCTACTAACGGTAACACAGTGATTCACACAGCTTAAAGGCAGAAGAAACGATTACATCATGTAATCCAAGTGGCTGAATTTCACATGCCCTTAAATTTCACCCAAATATTCCTACACGGAGCCAGATCGGCTTCAGCCAATCACAAGTTTTCTTCCCAAAAGACATATAGTTATGACTTGAAGGCATCAAGAGATGGAGAATCCATCACACCAGTAACCGTTTGTTTCGGGAAGTTAATCACTTTCCTTGTTTTGTGCATGCCTCATTTTACATTTGAACATGTTTGGCTTCGGTCTCCACCATTGATCCTAATCTTGCAGCAAAAGGAATTTAAAAAGCCTTCAGTAAGCATTCCTCTCTGTGCAGGCTTCCTGTAATCAAGTCACACATCTTAACTTTTGATAAGCTAATCACATTGAATCAAGAATTTGGAAAAAAATGCCTTACTAAAAGAGATTTAAGGAGCTTGATTTCATGGTTCTTTTCTACCTTTTTTCCAGATCGTTCAGTATCTTTTTGAGGAAGCCAAAATGGAAAACCACATTCTAGAACCATCCTTACCACTGTTAGGCAATTTTTACCTTTTTACTTATTTCCTGTGTGATCCTATTTCTTGTGTGATCTGTATGATATATAAACATTAGACTTGTCACAGTGTCACACTAGAAGTTCCTGGCGAACTGCGTATTCTCAAACCTGTTTAAGGCTTTGCTTTCCAGGATACAATAATTTGCTCCATCAGTAGAGCCTGAATGTCTCACTTCTTGATGTATATAAACACTTTTTACTCGCATCAGCCTCAGCTCACCAACAATCCCAACCTCTCTCACTGACTGAGATTTCCCCATCCTGATTTACAGTTCTGTCAATTTCTGTATTCTCTGAAAAAATTTTCAGTGATGATAGAAGTTAAGAATCTGATCTTTCACGTTTAATCTTGTCTTATCATGGCCTCCTGTGCATCTCTATAATCATTCTTAATATAAAAACCTCATATTGCTATCTACATGGCATTGTCTTTAGCCTTCTTTCCCTTTCTTCTCTCTCAGACAATGCACTTTTTTTTTCCCCTTCTTTTTTTAAGGGAGGACTCTATGTTTTATCGTGTTTGGCACTAACCACGTTGTTTACGTTTAAATAAAACCTTTATGTCTATCTGCTAAATAACAATCATTTATTTGTTGTCACAAATCTGTTCTATATATTACAGCCAACTGCTCCAGGTCTAATAATGTACATTGATGGGTTCAAGTAGTATAGTCTCAAGCTTGAATGCTGCCATCAAATCAGATATCCATCTGCTTTGCACCAAATCCACAATAACACCCACAAATGACCCAAGCACAAACCTAATTCAAGCATTTCAAATGTTTGGTTTGACCAAGCACCAACACCGGCAGATCTTAGCTGAACGACCTCTTTCAGAAGGCCTCTCGGTGTTTTCAATGAAAAGGCAGGCCAGTCGCTCACACCTGGCAGCATGTGAATCTCCAGCGCAAGGCATTCTGTTTCTAGGCCTACGAGGGCTTGAAATGACGCAGCAGAGCTCATCAGCCCTGCAGACGAGCAGTCAGCTGACACAGCTGCCAGACAGGCAGCATCACCGCGACAGCGGCAGCTGGCCAACTACATGGAACAACAAGAAAAGAGGAGGCATCTGTGGGTATTTTTGCCTAACAGCATACAAGTCAGGGAACATGTATACATCCTAAGATAGAGTTCCGCTTCCAAATGCCTGTGCTTGGCTCCTGTTAACACCAACTGATGACCCATCCGTGCACAAGGGAATTCCATGTGTCCGTCCCCTTTTCCTAAATGTTTCAATTATGACAACGGAGTTTCTCAGCGCTGCTGCAGCATGCTTACCACCGAGACCTCTTGTAGACAAGATTATGTATTTCTGTTTGCTTAATTTTAAGGCAGAAAGCCACATACCTTGAATCTTAGTTTTGAACTGTGGGTACTTATTGAGAACTTCGACTTGTTTCTTCCAGTTGAACTGATTTTTCCAGTAGGAGATAACCTTCCTGAGATAAACTGAGTTAGTCCCATAATGAAAGCAACTGTTCTCCAGTGGCTCAGTGAATCGAGCCTGGTCAAGTCTCCTAAATAAGTCCTAAAGAGGAAAACAAAGAAGGAAAGAGACATTACAAGCACTTGTATCTGCCAGCTTGTGCTTTATTTACTGTGCATGCTTTCTAGTTATTCCCAAGTGAAATAAGAACTGCAATGGAAAAAAAAAAAAAACCACTCTGCAAAGATGCTTGTACATTTTGTTGATGCACCATCATCCATTCCAATTCTTGTTTTCCTCTAGATGCTCTCCTTCCATTTCCAGCTGTCGTCAACACTCCCGCTGTCTTTGTTCACCAGCACTGATCTGTTTGCAAGGCTGATAACCGCAGAGATAATACCCCTTCTAACAGCACCTAAAACCAACATGCAGCTATGAAGAAGCTTGTTTATGATACTTGTCTCCATACTGCATTGTTACTCTTCTATTGCCAGCTAAATAGAGGATATGGCACCTTGCAGAGCGATTACCAAAAGTGCCAAAGTGGCTTCAAAGCATAAGTGACTTTACCTTTCCACGGTACTTTGTTCCCCAGGCTACCTGAGAGCCCAGTCTCACCATCAGTGCATGAAGCTGGTTCAGACCCTTTGCTCTGCTTCCCAAACGAACAGGCTGGGTGTCTTCACTGGGAAACGCACCGATATATTTCACATAGCCACAGAGTTGGTGAAACTAGACTGGGAACGAAAGTTTCCAATTCTAGAATAGCTATTAAAGTGACTGTGCTACTGCACTTCAACAGTTTATGGGTGATGCTGAAGATATTGCAAATTCATTCCAAAATCACTCAGCAGGGAAGGACAGCCAAGAGCCCCTTCCTACTGCAAACAGAATCATAGATTAGCTGGGGGTGGAAGGGACTTCTGGAGATCCAGCGCCCCCCGCTCAAACCTCTGTGGGTTTTAAACCTGAGCAGCATTTTCTAATATAGCCATAAGGACAGCTCACACTCTGACTTAGACAAGTTAGGTGTATGCATTGGCTCACGCCTCACACTTAACAGGCTGTCTCAATCTAGGTAAGATGTTAGTACACGAGCTAACTTTTTTCGGCACTTAACACAAGAAAGGCATGTTATCTTTAACACTTGCTAAAGTGGTTAAACTGATGTGCACGGAAAGCACAGGTTTTAAATAAAGCTTTAAACATGTTGTTACATACATGCTGTTTCGTCCATGCTCAGCACCTTAAAAAAAAATTTGTATGATGTATGCTAGCATAACTATAATCCCTAGTTTATGTAAGAATTCATTTAGAACCAGTTTATCACTGATGGATGAGTCAATAGTGTTACAGTATAGAACTGTGCATTTCAAAAAAATCTGTAGGTTAGTATCTAGCTTTGTGTCTGCAGTGTAAGAATAGAACATATTTATTACAGATCAATGTCCATTTATATCACTAAGGAGGACAAATGAAGCATTAAAACAAACAAACAAACAAACAAACCCAAAAACCCAGGCCTTACAGAGAAAGTAATCTATTATAAATGAATAACACGGGCAATCCCATGAGTACTGTTTAAACCATTACTCCATACAGATCTAGGAAACTGTGCAATCCTTGAATTAAACATGCACAATCAACAGCTTTGCTATCGAACAAATTCTGCAACCTACATATTTTTAATGTACTTACTACCATGGTATTAGCGTTGATCAAAGTATACAAACAATTAGAAAAGAATTACCATTCAAGCATTTAAGAGCTGCAACTCTCTTTAGCTGTAAACACAAGGCACTCAGGAAAACAAAATATTTGTAATTGCTTTTGAAAGAAAAAAAAAAAAGACATTATTCTTATTCTGGTCTATACAATCAGTTTGAGCAAGTAGCACGAACAGGAGCACAGAACTGGAAAATGTGGAATATGGTTTTCCTGTTTATTAAGCTTTACAGAGTAGGTTTATTTACTAGCAGCCTTGTGACAGACAACTGAGAACAAAGATAGATAGCAGGATGTGAAATCTACCTATCCATACCTATCTTCTGAATTAATGGAAAACCCCTTCCAAACCAGTCCTGCACACTGATCATCCCTCTTATTTACAAATGTCACTATTGGTTCAGTTTAAAAACTACTTCCAAACAAGTTCTGCCTTTGTTTGGCCATTTTACACTTCTCTCTTCCCAGTACAGAAATTTGCTTACGCTCAGCTCTTCCTCTGTAGTTTCCACCTTAAATGGACGAATAGTTGTATCTTCTTCAGCGTCAGGCTTTTGTCCTTTGCCCCACCATCCCTCTTTAAAGGGTAACCTCTCTTCTTTCTTCCTAGAAAGGAAGTAGTAGATGATTGTCCCCAAAATCAATGTCACCACTATGTCAAGCAACATAATGCCTGCAAGAGAAAAACAAAACTCTGGTGAGCCTAATCAGATAGTTCAGAGGCACGTGACATACTTCAAAAAATATGGAGGTTTACTCAATTTTTAAAATAGGATTTGATCTACATCTTTAAGTTTCACTGATCACTCTCAGGACATCAATGATTCAGTAAAAATTTAGAAATAGGACATTTTAACCTATGTAACTGCAGGACAAACGCAGGAGGTCTGAACTTCTCCTGGGAAGTTCTAGCTAGGCGTGGCTGCTGCTAACAAGCTCTCTGGGTTGCCTTGCTCAGAGGGAGTTGGGGCTTTTGACTCAGGTGGCTCTTGATTGGGTGGGTCAAGCACCCTGTGAGTCTCTGCTAGGCAGGGGCCTAGATAAGAGCCAGGCCTAGAGTGCAGCTAACAGAGGCAGTGAACAGATGCAGCCGTTTGTGCAGCAGGATGCCACAAGGCAAAGAAGGCACCTTCATTTCTCATAGTAGTGTGTGCTTCCCCAGGCATGGTCATGACATGCCACAGAGCACGTTCCCCAGTGGCTGCTGGAGTTGCTGCATCACCTGTGTCTGAAGGCCGGGGCTGATAGTCAGCTCTCCTGTGCAAGGTGTGCTGTGGTTGATCAGTTGTATTGCCAGGTAAAGGAGTTACAGGAGGAAGTCAGTAGGCTGCATAGCATCTCAGAAGATGAGCAGGAGATTGACAGGGTATTCCCCAGAGACTGTGCAGCTCCGGGAGTCCCCACCCCCCCCACAGCAGTGGAGCTGCTGGAGGGCTCTGTACCATGTGAAACGGTACATCATAACACTGCTAAGGAATGCTGGAAACCGGTCACTTCTTGCAGAAGGAGAAAGGCTCTTGCTCCTCTTCAAGACTTGCCTTTGAAGAATGAGTTTAGCGCCCTCCAAGCTGAGGAGGAGCTGGGCGTGGCTCCAAGGGAGGCAACGGGCCTGGCAGACCCTGTGCCATGTGAGAACACCTGGCAGAAGCGGCGAGTGACTGCTGTGGGTGACTGCCTGCTGCAGGAGACAGAAGCACCTATCTGCCGACCTGACCTCTTGTCCAGAGAGGTTTGCTGCCTGCCAGGGGCTCGAATAAGAAATGTCATGGAAAGACTTCCAAGGCTTATCCCTGCATCAGACTACTACCCTCTGCTGATCTTCCATGTGGGTGCTAATGACACCAAGGGCAAACTGGAAACCATCAAACAGGACTTCAGAGCTCTGGGGATGGTGGTCAAGGGTCTGGGAGCCCAGGTCGTTTTCTCCTCAATCTTGCCTGTGAGAGGGAAGGACGGGAGGAGGAGTAGACGAGTTTTCCAAGTTAACAACTGCTTGTGCCGCTGGTGTTGGCAGCAGGGTTTTGGTTTCTATAACCATGGAACCCTGTTTGAATATCAACAGCTGATGGAGAGAGATGGGATCCACTTCACCAAACGGGGCACGTGTGTCTTCGCTAACAGGTTGGCCAGCCTGGTAAGGAGGGCTTTAAACTAGGAAAGACGGGGGAAAGGGAATGGTATAGTGACAACGGTACTTAGTAAAACACCGCTCAAGTCAGGATGCCTCCAGCGGGTGCATGCAACCAGGGGAGAGAGCATGGGACACGGCTATGGAGGATCCCCTTGCACCTCTCCTGACAAGCTTACATGCTCGATTGGCTCTCTGAAATGCCTGTACACCACTGCATGCAGCATGGGGAATAAGCAGGAAGAATTAGAGATCTATGGGCGGTTGCAGGGCCATGATCTCGTTACAGTTACAGAGACACAGTGGGATAGCTCACATGACTGGGATGCTGTCATGGACGGCTATGTGCTTTTTAGGAAAGACAGGCCAGGAAGGTGAGGTGGTGGAGTTGCTCTTTATGTGAGGGAGCAACTAGAATGTGTGGAGCTCTGCCTCGGGGTGGATGAAGAGGAAGTTGAGAGCTTATGGGTGAGGATTAAAGGGCAGGCTAACATGGGTGACAGGGTGGTGGGGGTTTGCTACAGGCCACCTGACCAGGAAGAGGAAGTCGATGAGGCCTTCTACAGACAGCTGGAAGTAGCCTCACGTTCACCGGCCCTGGTTCTCATGGGGGACTTCAACCACCCTGACATCTGTTGGGAAGACAGCACAGCTAGACACAAACAGTCGAAGAGGTTCCTGCAGAGCATTGAGGATAACTTCTTGACATAGGTGGTGGAGATGCCAACAAGGAGAGGTGCACTGCTAGACCTTGTACTAACAAACAAAGAAGGTCTGATTGGAGATGTGAAGGTTGGGGGCAGCCTTGGCTGCAG